CTTCCTGTTTCTCATGCACTGATACATAGCTATGAACATTATTTGCATTCCCAATTGCAGGGAAGGTTTTTTAAAAAAACATAACCCAATTAAAATTCCAGTTTGTGGCCTTTACTAATTAATAGTACTCCTTTAAATAAGAATATTACCATTTCCTTATTATACTTCTCAAGTGTCTTGTCTTAAAATCAACAGGTAAAAATGACATGGAAAAAGCATATGAACGGGCATCAGAAAAACAGTCACACATTGCAGCATTGTTAACCAGCTACTGAAAATTACAGCTTCATCTCCTGCTCACAGCCAGACCTATATATATTTGGACACTTGCTATCATTACAAATGCAGTGGCTTTAGGTTTGTGCCAGGTAAGAGATGAGCATCTGGCTCACAGTCTGCATTTCTAACTCTTCACAGAACAAGAGAGTCCAAACATATTTTAGTTCTTTATAGCTGCTCTTCATAGACAACTAAAGATCTTTATCACAATAAAAACAGAAGGCACTGCCACAGAGTGTAATTACATGCTACTATAGTTGACTGTTGTCTTCCAGAAATAGGAAATTGTTTGAAAAATGCATGGTTTCTGCTTGGGCCATACTCCGAGTTCCTTAAATAAAATGCTACCCCTAATCCCTGTGCAGATAAAATGGGAACTCTGGTATTGTAGGGCTGAGCAAATCTTGAGAATGGGCTTCAAGATTTGGCTTGACAGTAGTAAGCTTTCTGCACCAGTGATTAGCAATGTGTCGCCACAGTGGAAAATCAGGTTTAAGCCTTGCTCTCTGCACACCACCCAGAAGTTCATGTCCCAGGGATGGTGAAGGAGTTGGTTTGTTAGGATTATTTCTCACCTGTCAGTCACTTAAGAAGCCAAGATTTCAAGGCAGCATACCCTATGGAGACCATTGCAAAAATCCCCACAGATGAGACTCAGCACCGCACCAAGTGAGGACAACTTACTGTTGCACAAACCCACGGCAAAGGGATGGGGAAGGGGTTTACATATCCACAGCTGCATCCATGCTCAGCAGCCAGCTGGGAAAAATGTGCTGTCTAGTCTGAAGGTATGTAAACTGTCAGTCAGCCATCAGGACAAGTAGGTTTCAAATATCCACTCGGTCCCACATTCCTGATTCCTTGAAGAGGCCTAAATTAGGATCGTTGTACATATCCTAGAATCCCTGGCAAAGTCAGATATTTTGATAAATGAATCATTATCAGACAGAGACTTCTTTTGAAAATGGACTGTTTTCTCTTACTCTATAGCTAAAAGAAAAAGGCAGGTTCTTGCTTCTTCTGAAAGAGCATTTACAAAAAAAAAAAAGGTGCCTACTGGAGTGTAATTATTGTGCTAAGTAATTATCAATAAATTATAAAAGGTACAAGAGACTCAAAAAAGCTCCATAAAGATGAGTAAATATGATCTGGAAGAGGTGCCTAGGAATCACACACCATTTCTCTATTATCATAAAATAATAATGGTTTGTACATTTTACTACAAAACTTTCTGCTGAAGATGTCACAGATCTTTGTAAACATTAATTTCACCTCACAACCTCCCAGGATGGGAAGCACCATCTCCACCTAACACAGAAAAGCTCAGGAAGCGGAAAAGTGCCATTCACCTCATGCAACACAAGGAGGCTGCAGCAGAGCTGGGAACAGAACACAGACCCTTGCCTCCCATTTTGTACACTAACCACACGATCATCAAATGTCACCTGTTTATTTTATCTCCTCACAAAAACATTTTTGATCATTACATCTGTTTCTTTTCTCAGTAATTTTTTTTTTTGAGAGCAAGCTGCAGTAACACTGACAGCCCCAAATGCCTGTAGAAAAGGTAGACAGGAGCAATGCAGCACAATGGGACCACAACATCTGGATGAGTCTTAGCATACTTTGTTAAACGTCTTGCCCATTACACCTTATCTACTGTGCACTGTGATTTAAGGTGAGTGAACATGTTTCTTCCCTAAACCCCAGAATTTCAGAGCCTTCAAGCAACCGTTTTGCAGTACAGAACTGTGCACACTGTTGGCATATCACACTAACAACACATAAAAGAAACTGTGGCTCAATTTTAAAGGGAAATATTATTTGCTGCTATGAAAATCATTCAGATATTAAAGGCACGTTCTTTCAAAAGCAAGTCAACTTAACTAATCCCGCCCCTCCACAACTTGGGTTATTCACATAGTTTAAGTCATTCCCCGTCCAGGGATCTTTTACTTCAGTTAAGAGTTCTCTCCCTTTGCTCTACATTTTCCCTGTTCCATCCCTTTTCAGTACTTGCCTCTCTCCATCCCTTTTCAGTACTTGCCTCTCTCCTCATCCTGCTCTCCTGCCGTTTCTAGTCTCTTCCCCTCCTTTCTTTACAGTCATTTCCATTTTCTTTGAAATGTTTTGGCATTTAATGCTGGCTTTATTCTTCCTTCTCCATCTGCTGCTCTTGTCTTTCTAAATCTCTTCTACAGCCTTCTCTTGGGAGAAAGCAAGAGCCACGTTTTCCATTTATTGCCTCCTCTTTCTGGATTCCAGTTCATTTCTTTTTCTTTAAGGACTTGGAATCAGACAATCCTCCTCTCCCTGGAAGCTGATATACCAGCTACAATGTCTTCTTCCCAGCCCCACAATAGCTGGTACTGTGCTGTATCGTATCTGCCACTCCCTTCGAACACAAGTATCTCAGGAAAGGCACTGTTAAATATTTGGCATTTCTCCTATATACTACGAGAGCAATACTACAGAAAGCAAAATTACTGGTAGGTTTTACACTCCTGCCTTGCGCTCAACATTTGTGGAATCTTCTGGCCATGAAGACTTGCTCCACTAGCTACAATCCAATTTTTAGGGAGGGAATTTCCCCCTCCCTAAGGGGTTTCTTCTCTGTAAAATCTTCTATTTCATTATCAGGACTTACAGGGAACAAAGGAGAAATAACCAAGCTTAACTACTAACATGCCTTTATACAAATCTCCCCTATATTGTCTTTCCAACATACTTTAATTTGGGACTCAAAGGCTCAACTCTAAGACGTGTCTTCCTAGCCTGTTCACTTGGCCTCTCTTCCCAGACAAGAGAAGTAGCTGTAACATGTAAGATGACACGGATATTTGCCAATTAGAAGCACAACAACGAACTCCTTTTGGGAAACATTCAGCCATATCTGCATGTGTGTCTTTTAACTAAAACAAAAGACATAATACAAACTGATCACAGACTAAGCAAAGTAAATATGAAGAGAATGATGAAAGGACGTCTTCTGTTATAAAATTTTGTTTATTTCCGAACTTCTATCTAAATCTTGACTTTCTATGAAAGTTTTCCTCATATTTGTTATTAGCCGATGTGTTTAATTGTTTGTTATTGTACCTTAGCACTGGGAATGATGTCTTCTAAAAGTTTTTGCTTCCAGAAAGGCTAAAGGAAAATAATCACCAGAGAGTTAAAAAAAAAAACCCCTTGCAGCCAGCAAGATGGATTTTGCAAAGAGGGATAAGATTTAAGTCACAAAAAATACAAATCTTTTATGGTTAGTTATGTTGCCAATGTACAGAAATAAAATGTAAGAAATGAACCAGTTATCAAGGATTCCAAAATAAAGTGAACAAGAACATTAGCGAACGCCAAAGCTTATAAAAGCCTCAAAACACTAAGATCCTCACTTCTACCACAAGCTCAAAAGATACAGCATGAGAGTCAGTTGTTTCTTAGTTTTGTTTTATACATTTCACACAGCAGTTTTCCTCTGGTCACAGAGATTTTGCTTTATTCAATGCCTAGAATACACTTGACTGATGAATGAACAGCAGCTATCAAAGCAGTGGAGAATCTGACACCTATTCCTCTCAAGGTTTTCCACTGTTGTTTTTAAACAAATGTTTTAAACACAAAGCATATTCCCATGGATTTATTACAATCTGAAAGGGAAATATGTATTTAACAAGATATAACTTATCTGAAATGTGCTCAGCTAAAACCCAAAAAGAAACCAAGAAGGAACACGATATGCTCATTCTGCCCTGCTCTCCTCTGGCAGTTTGATGTTTATCGTCTCCTACTTCCCATTTGAAAACAGCAAATTCTCATGGCTACAAGTGATTATATGCAAAGCCATGACAAGTGCACCAGCACAAAAAGTGAGAACAGGGAAAATAATTCACTCAGTTAATTATTTGAAAGTTATTTACAACAATAACAACAACAACAGATTGTCAGATAGAAGCCTGATTTAAGCCGACTGACCCTTTCAGTATTTCTAAAGAAATTATGCATTATAAAACTAATTCAGTGAAAAATGAAAGTAAAAATAGAAGCGATGAGACATCTTCTAAATAAGCAAAGCTGCTTTTACAGCATGCTTAATAACTGGAGTGTGGTAAACATACCACTGTTATAAATAACATCCAGCCTTTTGACATTATTCTTTAGTTAATTATTTCAAATTCTTTATAAGCATTAATGAAGCAAGCCCCATGGTTCTCCAGAAAAGTGAAGAGAATTACTCCCATATATAGGAGGAAAAATGAAGATACATGGACAGAAAAGAACCCTCCAAAGTTACAATGGCACACCTGTACAGAGAATTCAGGAGCTCTCATAGTATAAGAGAAAAAGCATCCTCTCATCCAGATGAGAGTGCTTATTAAGTGAACAGTTAGTAGGATTTACACATCATTTAATTCTACAAAAAATGTTGCATCAATGTTTTTAAATTTAACCATGACTAGGAAATGACCAAGACATATCAAAGTTTTATACTGATAAGGCCCAAACAAATTATTTTTAAATAGAAAAACTCTAATGATTTCTCCCTGCTGAGGCACTTCCATGTTCTGCTTCAACACCTAATCATAAAACCGTTAAAAATAATATTTCATGTTAAAAATGCTATAAGCTGCCAAAGTATCGTATACAGCACTTTGTCAGATTATAGATAAATGAACACCAAGACCTAGCACAACAATGATTAGTAAGTAATTGTGTCTCATTACCTTTGTGGTCTTCTTGGGCCAGCTGACCACAGGGACACCCGAAATGGCAAGATTTTGGTCATCATCAGCATGTTCCTTCAGTATATTCTGTGGCAAATGAAAAGGCCTTTATTAACCAGAGAAATATTTCTCCGACTGAAGAGTGCAGAGGCTTACAGAAGACAATACTCCACTCTGATGAAAGATAGAGTGACAAGATTTCTGCTGACTTCTAACATCTCTGCAAGTTACTTCTGCTTCCAAATTTCCAATTCACACTGAAACTCTTGCACCTGTCATTAAGAGCCAAGATGTGAAGTTTCTTGCAAAACCGACAGCAAAATCAGCCATGAGCCACCTCAAATATTACAGACTTCTTTAAAATTGGCGTGTCCAAAAAGACTGGTGTTTTTCTGCTGGTATCAGTCTAATACCAGCATCACCTCTCCCTTTAAACTCCAGCTTACTAAACCCCAAATGACCCCCACCAGTCACCACAACCAACACCTTCTCTCCTAATCAAGCCTACAAAGGACCCTAGAAGCACCTAGGCTCTGCCACCACTATTTCTGCAATCACAGGACATCAAGCCCTATGTAGTTTAGAGCAATCCTCAGATGCCCGGACATTCAGGTAAGTCAAGATATAGAAGCGCGCATTGTAATTTTCATCTTTATCCATGTGGCAATTCAAGAGCACTGTCATTTCCACTGGCCTTCCCTTCCACACTGATGGGCAGGCCAGAGCTGCTGTAATCTAGTTCACTTAATGTGATCGGGTAAGGCATTCAGGTTCCTGAGTATTCACCAGGAAAGGATCTGACTCTGGATAGTACAGTATTAAGGAAAAAGATTGGTCTCCCCTGCCTTCCACCCCAACCAAATCCTTTTGCTTTGATGCACTGTCCTAGAAATCTCATGAGTGGGTTGCACTGGCTTACACAGCTTCTACCGCTGTGAATCACTCCCATGACCATATAACTCAACACAGAGGTGGGGAAGAACTCTTTCTAAGCGTACTCAATTGTGCAGTTGGGAATAGTCCACGCTCACTTCCCTTGACTCTCTACGCACTTACTAACCTAGCTACAAAGCTCTTAATTTGGAATTCAGGTAGCTGAAAAAGACAACAAATGAAAACAAAAAATTAATCAGGAGGACTCTGCTGTGCTGCTGAAAACTGAAGCTCAAATAAGCACTAACAGGTTAAGGGGAAAAAAATGCTCCAATAAAACAAACAAGAACTGCAGGTTGGAAATTACCTTGTAATAGAATTTAGGAGATAACCCCAGACAATGAAGTTCAATGGTGTTGCTCCCAAGTATACGGACTTGAAAAAAGCTTAATTAGACAACAATAGGCACCAGGCTCTCTCAGTCCCCAGTGTAGAGCTTTAATAATTAAAAATTTCACACACGATACAAAAAGAGCTTAAAATACAGTAATTGTTTTAATAGGAAGCGCACTTGTAATTCATCGGTAATCATCCAACTAAAGCCAGGAGCACGATGGCACGTTCCAGGCCCCAAGAGCCCGAGCAGGCAGACTAGCATCTAAACTAGGGTTTGGACGTGTGTCCCTGGGGCTGGCTTTCTTCTCCCAGGAGCTCAGGCAACCTGCTGGATTCAGCTCAATTCCCCAGTCTGTGCTTAAATGAGAGATGCTTTACTAATAGACACTACAGCACCAGCACACTGCTGCTTTTTCAGATACAATCGTACCAGTAAGGCTGTTCTTGATACTGGTTAGTCTGAAAGCAGCGCCAATGACCAAAATAAACAATACCAGTACAAGCCCAGTTTCGTCAGCCCGGCGCTGTGGCTGGGCTCTGGAGCTTGCACAGGCACAGCCTGGCTGGTTAGGAGTAAAAGCCAGCTTGCCCCAGCCTGACTCTGACGTGGAGCCTGTAGCGCACCTTCAGCGGAATACTTGTGAGTGAAACGGCTAACAACTTTTACATACGGACTAGTCACTGGCAAATTAACTCTTTGGTGAGCTGAGGTTAAGCGAGCACCTCTTTTCTCATGTCCTGTTTATTTTGAGAGCGTGATTACTGCATTAACCAAACTGTGACCGTGTTCTGAAAGTTAGTTTTCAATCCGAAAAATTGAAAGGTCTTTTGTAATCTCATAGAAAAGCCAAAATTCTCCAGAACAAGGCAGCAGCTTAAAAGCCATATAAACAAAGGACAAATTAATCCCTCTTTACTTTGCTACTCTTATATTTGAAAGCTTGTAAGACAGAAAACCTTAACATTTCCACTAACAACTGCCAGAGACTCTTGAGTTCAGTAGAAAGCAGAGTATATTCCAAGAACTTGGCAGGATAATGAAGGTTTCTTGTTATCATACGTATCACGTGAAAATATTACCCAAGAAGAAATTTAAAACTATGGCAGTTTATCATCTCAGCCAGCTGAAAACAATGGATGTCTGAGCAGCAGAACCATAACCAAGCCACATTTGCACTGCCTAGTGTCGAGTGTCAGCATACAACAGGCTGGAAGAGGCAGACTTTTTTGTTCACCTGCTTTAAAAGAAGAAGAAAAAAAAAAAAAAAGGATAAAGAAAAGCCATGGGGCTCCAGTTAAACAATGTGATGCTCATCCAGCACAAGGCTGCCTGATTCATTACACTTGAAGGCTGTGGTGACAACAGCAGGTATGAAGGAAAGAAACTGATTAAGTATGTAAGAATTCAGCTTAGCCATTAATTTCAAAAGCACAGCAAGGAATGACTCCCCTGAAATGCGTTCAGTAGAGGGAGTTTTTTTCCTGTCATCAGAATGAGAAGGGGGTAAGATTTCTTGGCAAGAAAAAGAAAGAACATATTTCAGTAGATATCATCTGTCTTGCACAAGAATCTTCTCCTGCTGCCAAGGAGTTGCGGATATTTGACAAACGCTTTTCTTCAAACTGAGTTTCTTCTGCCCTAATGGACTTCCACAGTCCCTTCTGAAGAAGGGCAGCATTTTTGCTTTGAAGTGGGGAAGGTCTGTGGCCTTATTACGAGGCAGATCTCACAATCCTCTTCCCCAAAAGCAGCAAAGGAATTACCATCCTGCTGGTAACACAACAGAAATGTTGTGTGCTGAAATCAGAGGCTGCATACAGACAGGTATCACTGGCAGAGTGTTTAATGTGGGATGAAGACGGTCACAATCAAAGGTCTGCTCACCTTTACCTGTCCTGTGATGTGGGATGCAAACTACACCAAGGAGTGAGATGGTTACCTCTCTATTCTCTTCTTCATGCATAAGTCCACCCAATTGCATCTTAAGTAGACTGACATGCTATTTGGTAGCTAAATATGGAGAAGCCACACGATGAAACTCTTCCAATCCCCAAGGATTCTAAGTATATTTTCTAAGTAAAATAATTTCTCAGGGATTTTTTTTTTCTCCTTCTCTTCCTCATCAGTGTAGGTACTTTTCTAACAGGTCAGCTGCTACTTAATTTTTAAATTGAGAGCCAGAGTTGTTGCACTGTTTCATTTCAGGACATGTATATATGGAAAACAAGGCATGGCTGCAGGCTGCGTGTGCCTCCAACAGTGACACCAACACCAAGGATGTGGGGGCAACGGCTGCAGCGTCTTCTGGCTGCTCACCCCGCCCACAGCTACACAGCCAAGCCTTCTGTCCTCCGGCAGCTCGGGTCAGCTGAGCACTCTCAAGGAGGGTATGTTTATCTGTACAATAACTTCCCCCCCCCATTTGCTGCACATACAGCTTACACGGAGCCCAGCCGCAGACATTTGGATACAGAGAGTATTGCATCTCCTCAGCCGATTGTTCAGATGCCATCTGCTACAGAGTGAACGCTGCTGTCAGTAATTGCTGTTTGGAGGCCTCTGAGAAGCTCCTTTGGTGGTGAACACAGGTCTCATGCGATACAGTGCCCATACAGCAGAGCTGCAGCCAACAAGAATTTAATTCCTTGTTTGAGCTGAGGGAAGAACTGACCTGCTCCCCAAGCGAGGCCCGTGTTATTCTCTGCAAATAAGCCTCCCTTGTGCTGCTGCACTCCATCGATCATGGTGATAAATGTGTTCTCAAGCTGCAGAGGCATTAGCTTGGCACTTCTGGATTGCCGTGTCCCCACTAGATAGTTGCAGTTAGTTAGGAGCTTAGACGACATGTGAGGAATTTACACAGGCTTAGTTTAGTTTTCAGTCTCCCTTCTCATAAGGAAAATAAATTACTTCAAAGAGACTCACTTACTTGACATTAAATAGCTGTATATAGCTGTAGTTGTATTTACCACTAAGAGCAGTAATCCAGTCACTCATTCTTTACTGTATTCTTGCTCAGACGGGAAAGCATGGATTCTCTGCAAGTTACCCACATTTGTTCTGTGAGATTTCACATCACTAAATAAAATAGTTTCCTTTCTCCAGTTTTAACTACCCATATCCTGTTTTCTGAAAACATTAATTATCTTACTGAAGCGCAAAGACAGACTTGAATGTCATAGAGAAAAGTTACTGAGTGTACTTCATTAAGAAATAAAACTGCTGCAATAAACCCAGATCTATTTTCTTCAGGAATAAACTTGTTTAAGACTTTCCAAGCAGACCAAGAGCTTTCAGACTTTCTGTCAGAGCACATTCTTGCTATGCATTTGTTAAAAATAACTCTCAAATGGGTACACTAAAAGGGTACTTTTTATAGGCTGTATTATTAAGACATCACATGCCCAAAAGTTAGGTTGCCCATGAAATAAGCCTTGTGAATACAGCCGAATAGAGTCACAGCACATATGATCTGCGCAGCTGCTTCTGCAGGATTTCTGCCTCCATTCAGTCACACAGATGACTGGTGCTCTGGATATTCACCAGGGTGAGGTAAAGGGTGCCAGGCTTCTGCTCTCTCTACTGCTAATGCTATCAGCAAAATCCCCATGTTATTTTCTGTACAAGTTGGAAAACTAGTAGCAAAGTAAGAGGAAATATGACTTAGTGGTCAAGGAGATAAATACTATTCTGAAAGAATGGATTATATTTCTTCTTCTGCCATTATGTCTCTATGTGACACAGGGCAAATTTTTCAAATCGCGTTTCCACAGGCAGTCATGAGTTGTATGTTCCTACTCTTCCTCACACCTGGCTTGGGATCTGGATGCTAAAGATCAGAACTTCTGCTCTGCAAAAATGCTAAGCAATTACAGTTTCAATACCATTAAAATTATCTTTTGCACATATCATTCTTAAGTAATGCTAACTTTTCTGAAAATCACATCCGCAGCACGTAAAACCAGTATCCAAAATTATGGTCACTTTTATCTTAATCTCTTTGCACCTTAGTTCCCTACCTGTGAACCAGAGATAACAACTCATCAATTGCCACTTGTGAAGCACATGACTACAGTGGTGATGAGTACCACTGGGAACCCCAAGGGAGCTTTCATATCACCATGTTCAGCCAAGGGTCTGAACAGTGCGACGTACCTAACACACACTGAGGAGCAAGGACGGAACAAAATACTGAACAGCTGCATTCTGCGCACCGAGCAATACAGGAATCCTGCAAGGACCATTATGCCAGACGTACGCTCAAGGGGCTGAAATCAGTCACTTGGCATGCTCTATCCTTTGAAGGCAGAAGCCCTAAACATGCACCGATACACTTATCTGATTTTTTTTTTTTTTAAGCTAACAAACCAAATAAAACAAACTTCATGCTTTGGTATGACATGGGTTACAAGGAGATAGGATGCTTTGGCTCCACTGTACTGCTCTCTACCATGTCAACAAACGCAGCAGCAGAAAGGAGTAATGGGCTGTTGCAGCCAGGGTCCCAACACTAGGTGGGAATGGGACACACCTCGTCAGTGGCTGCCTCAGACAGTTTGCTGATGAGCAAAGGGAAGGCCTGTGTTGCGAGTCCTGGGCTCCACTCCTGACTTGAGAGGAAGCGTACTCAAGCAACCACTGATGTGACTGCAACTCCCCCTAACTGCCCCAATTCCTTCAGAGCACCCAGCAAGCGGATTATGCAACCTAGGGAGTTATGGAGGAAGCAGACCATATGGGATTTAATTAATTTACTATGCTGTATTGACTCCCATTCTCTGAAAATTGAGGGCTGCCTTATATGTGGGCCAATATTGTAAAAAAGATGGGTAAGAAAGTTAACAGTTCTTTAGACACTGTTCAAGAAAATGTTTGAGTTAACATCCTTTTAAAAGGTCTTACTCTGACTAACCAGTCACAGGGCTCGCCAAACACACAGAGGTGATTCCAGAGAAAACAATTCTGCAGCATGCATGATGTTTAGATGTGGTCATGGGCTCTTTAACCAGCAGGGAACCATAAATATCCAGATGTTGGGCTACATCCTGATGGTTACAGTGTGTGCTGGCAAGGAGAGAAAGTTTAGAAGCAGGCAGTTATCAAAGGAGATGGAACATCAAGACTGCAACTCTGTAAGATGCACAAAATAAACTGGCAGATGCCTGCTAGTACCAGTTAAAGCACAGTATCACCAAAAAGGGCATGGCTTGGGCCTTTTTCTTAAATATCCATGTGCAGTTTCCCATCTCTGTGTGCAGTTTTCCATCTCTGTAGCTAGTAACTCCACTGCTCTGAAGAGGAATAAGAAAGCATATACTCCTACATGGTACTTTAAACCAGATTCACATATGGTATCTTGCCGTGTTCTAGTAAGATGTCTCACAGTGCATTGGAGATGTCATCAAAAGAGCATGCATGATCATATTCTGAACATCTGCACTATTTATTACGTGTTGTACCCCTTTCTGGGATTTCAAGAAGGGGCAGTTTATGTTTAAGGAAACTTGGTCTGTGCATCAAGCTTGGAAAATTAACACTACCATTCTTTCGCCTTCACCACAAATTCAACTCCTGGTCTTGAAGCTTCATTTTGATTTCTGATTAGAAGACGACTGATCACAAAGTAAGCCAGTGAATCTTAGAGCCACGACTTTGGGCATGTGTGTCCACTTTCACATACAAAGTGGCTGATTTTGCAAGAAGAGACTTTCTGAGCTCCTGTGGTTTACCCAAATGAGTGCCGTGTATCACACTTCCAGGCTCCAAGATTGTGGAATATGGTTCCACTGCACACTGTGTATGTTCAGCCTTCTTTAACTGGCTTTGAATCCTTTTCTGAGCAGCTGTTACAGTACTTGCACTAAAAAAGTACAGGCTCCCCTTTTACCATATAAACACGTATTTTTCCCCTCAGATTGTGGCTTACACAGTTCTTGTGTATAGAACATATGTAGCTGAAGAACCATACCGTACACAGAAACAGCACAAAACCAGCAGTCCAAACACAAGACCACACAATACTGATAGTTCCAAATCAGGCCAAATTGCCATGGTACTGGACCTGCGGAGGACAGGCTGACAATTTTAGCCTTATTTGACAAGGCCCAGCAAAATTACAAGACTCTGCTGCTCTCAGCTTTGTTATGTGAAAAAAAGACACAGAAAACCTAACCACGTAGTCCAAAGGGATGCCACAGATCAGAGGCAGGGCTGGGACTAGAAGTAGCAAGGCCATGCTGGTCTTCAGAAGGAATTTATCCCTAAGTCAGACAGGGTACCACTTCCAGTATACTAAAAATCTAAAGAGAATTTGTATCACTAGTGAGCATTCACTCCTCACACCATCTCCAAAACCAGTATATTGTACCAGTGGAGAATAATTATCAACCTATAGAGGGCAATGGAGGAAAAGAAAATGAAAAAGGTGAAAGAAAAAAAAGCAACCGAAAATGTTAGACAATATATCTTCTGAATTACAATCACGTATTTACATTTTGTATGTCAGTTAATCAGATATACTCCAGAAAAACACTAGACCAAAAAGGGCAGATTAAGACTACAAATATAAACAGACTTTTTGAGGTATAATATTTACACATGGGACAAGTGCTGAACTATGAGAGGATCTAAACTTTTCTGACTGTCGCAGCAGTGGCCAAAGGACTGCATCAATTAAATCAGACTGCAAACAGCCATCTCCCCAGAGCAGAGATGGCTTTTGTTAGAGGCATCATTTCCCTCTCTGTGGCACAGCAGGCTGACATGAGCTGGTCACTACACACAAGCTGCCAACCCTCAGCTGCAGAACTTTGCTTTCTGATCTCCTGCTGTCTTCTATGCCCACAGAATACAGTTTGTGTGGATCAGCAAGCTATCACACCCACCTTCATGTCCTCTAGGAGAGCCTGCGGATCTTCGATGCCTTCTGGAACACACTTCTTGTTCTCTGGGAGAGATTCAAGCTTTTCCACCAGGGCTTTTAAACCCTTCAGTTCAAATTCTGTGAGGTGAGTCCATTTGGTTGAAACTTCTGTAGCTGGAGACCCCGTTGGTGTTTTGGGATAGTCCATGGGGGTCATTGATTTTACGCTGTCATCTGACTCATTAGACAAAGTTCTTTTTAGGTATCTCATTACTGTGGCTTTTTGTTTTCTTCCTGCACCCTCCTTCCCTTCTGAGTGTGTGCTGTTGGGTGAGGAGGAGCCATCCACCAAGGATTTGGAGTTCTTATCCAAACTGTCATTCTTCTCCTCCCGGATACGGGCATCACAAGATTCTTCATCCATGTCTAACCACGAATCTGATGAATAGCTGTCTGTGCTGTGTTTTCTTTTTGCATCTGAAAGTTAGAAAAAGAATGCTGAAATTTTACCCAATGTACTTCATAGCTTAAACACTTCTCTACCACTGGGGCTAGGCGCTGCCTATGTAAAAGGGAACTGGATAATGCCTAGTAAGTGTGTGACAGGAATGGGCTCTATTCAGCTGATTTTTAATTTTGGGGGGGGTTGTTCGTTTGTTTGGTTTAATGCTGGTTTTCATTAACATCTACTCAGCTCAAATGACTGGGAAACATTTAGGGAAAAAATATGCTTTCTTCAAAGCTTCAGTCCTCTATGCCTTCAATTAAGAGTAGGCAGAGCTCTTAAGTCACACACAATTAATTTTCCCGCAAATCCAAAAGAGACCAGATTCAGCAGCCTTACAGCTTTAAGAGCACAGAAAGAGGAGGGGAAAAATGATGGGAGAAGGCACGTTAAAATGCTGTACATCATCATTCTTCCAGGAACTCTGCACAGTACAAAACCAGCTTCTCAATACTTTTCCTATTTGCGAGCAACTGTTGGTAAAACAGGAACCCCCACTTGTTACTGCATGAATACTCATTGCTCTTCTGAGACAGAGGATTACAATTATGCTTATTTTACAGACAAGAAGCCTAAACACACTGAGAAATGCAAGGACTGTCACAGTTAGATGATACTGGTTTTCTTAATGCTGTCCCTGATACATTCTAGGTACTTCTCAGGAAAACTTAAAGGCAAGTTTCTGAGTCTAAAGAACTATTAATGTTAGTTTTATACTAAGTTTCCCCCTAAAAATCCCAACTGTTACCCAACTCCAAGCAATCAAGCAGTAAAAGCAGTGTAGAAAACTAGTGGCCAAGGTTCCCTAAGGCACATATCTTTTCTTATTTATTAGACACAATTTCCTTTACTAAGTGAACAACATTGAATGCAGGCTAGCAACAGCAAGAATTTCTGTGGAAAATACAGTTAACACTGGCAACACCCAGTTAAGTCAGTGTGAATTTTAATAGCGGCTGAAAGGGTATGAGATCAAGCTGCAAACAAAAACACTCTGCAAAAGGAAACAGAAGTCACACAGAAAAAGTGAGTGAACAATTAATGAAAAGTTCCTTTCATAGTTTTCATGCTTTGCAATGCAGTAGCTTTGGATTAGGACAATGTGAATCATGCTTAAGGAAGGATTAAATGGACATTAAAGAAAAAGCTCAGCATCCGGTTGTTTAACAGCGAAATTCAAAACAAACACTGAAGCCCAGTTCCAAGCTGGCAAATTCATCCTTATCACAGAGAAGCTCCTTATCTCTTGCATACTCTATACCACCTTCTCGCAAATTATACGTGTTACTTGTCAGTTGGGTAACAAAGATGCAACAGGCAGCAGCAGAGTAGCTGTCCAAGGGCAGCTAGCCCAGCTGCTTAGCTTTGCAGTTTCTAATAAAAACTCTGTAAGGCCAAGTGCACCTCTGTGTTAGTGCCTAAGAGATACGAGTTGGCCACTTTATACTTCTCAGGGCAAATGTGCTGTTACTACGGGGGGGG